TGTTTCTGTTTTTTTGCCAAATGCACTCCATTTGAAGGCCCATTTCCAGTATAACACCTCTATAATCTATACAATCGCTGCTCCCTGACTCATTCTCCAAGAAAGAATGCGCTTACCACGTTTTCCATCGATGGTGTTTCACTTTGTGCCGCTGCCCCTCCAGCAGTCACTATTTCTATGGTTGACCTTACCACGTGGGCGTCGTTACTGGTCACTTTTACCGTCGTCAAAACAAAGTCTGAAAAACCGCACTCTGGGAAGAACTTCAGCTTCGCTTCCTTTTGTGTGTTTTGTTCATTTCATTAAAGTTCTGTCAACGATACTGAGAGGAAGAGACCTTCACCAGCTCGGCGAGCAAACTGAAATCGTGAGCTGGGTTCCAGTCGTCTCAGGAGCACTTCTCTAAACGTCAGGCAAACACTGTAAAACTCCCAGCGACGCGAGAAAGGTATTAAACTTAACATCAACGCCGATATTTCATAATTAGTTCAAAGCTCTGTTTATAAATGTTAGAGTTAGTGTACAACCATAAGGGAAGCCTAGTGATGTTTGTCTGTTAGGGCAGGTGAGAGAGGCAAGTATTGCGAGCTGGAGACCGAAGACGCCACAGAGCACGCTTCACTTCTGAGTCCTCGTGCGTCGTCAAACATATAAATGTCATGCGATGAAACAAATGGCACCGCTACAACCCTTGTTCTGTCCAGCAATATCACCATGCGGAGTTGTGGGTTGCTGTGATCATTCCCTTTCCATACCAATCAGGGAGATCACCACTGCCCCACAACACATCTTCCACAGTGATCGAAACAACTTGATGAGAGATATCGTGAGATGAAACAAGGTGTGCATACGTAATGAGACCCGAATATTAGAATGTCTAAGTGTCATGAGAGACGATGTTGAAATGAAAGCGAATTGCCGCTGTCCTATCCCTTGTTGGGTGAAAATTTCTCCAGCTTTTTAGTGGTCCGTACCTCCGATTTCCATCTTTTCGTCTTGCTCATTGGGCCAATACTGTTCGCACTTCATTTTGCCCTGCTCAATCGTGTCGCACAACATTATAATATGGACACATGCTCGAACAGAATCATGCGCCAGAAATCAGCAATTGTTGACATGATGGGCACCTCTGAAAAATGCAGACATTCGCCCGATGCGATTGCTATTTGAGAATTTTAGAAAGGCTGGGCAAACTGATGAACGAAATCACCTGACCTGTGTGCAGATGAAAGTGTTGACGAGGCACTGCCCTCTCACGTAGTTAGCATGAATATAATCGGAGCCTTTACCATCTTTGATGATCACCCGGGTCAGATCATTACATGTGACGTCTGAATAAAGTGATGGGAGAAAAGTTTTTATCAGCACAAGTCGCGCGAATTGGTTACACATTCCGATGTACGAATTCATTAATCCAGAAATTTCACATGGAAAAAGCGCAGATGCGAGCGGAGATCAAGCGGCACCCTGGACCCACCGCACTACGCAATTGCTATATCACTGATTCGATCTGGATAGTCTGGCTCGGTTCCCGAAAGCATGTTTTCATGCTCTTTCCGAAAACGAAATCAAGTCGAAAAAATAAACGTCCGATCAGGGTGAGAAGTGTACCACTTGTGTTACGAGAAATTGTGGCTCGCTTGAGCCATCGTAGCTTACCATTAGATAGGACATCAATAGTTAGATTTTTTAGACATGCCTTTCCTTTTTTATGTTTGGAATGGTGGCTGGGGGGTGACAGTATAAAAGCATTTTTGTGTATTTCAAGGTGGGAGCATAATTTACAATACAGTCTGAGAATAATTCACTTTTCCAGAAAAAATATTCGCCTCACCTTTGTACCGATTCTTGGTCGGGTTCTGATCGAAAATCTCTCTTGAATAAGTGCTGGCAAGATAAGGTTTGGAGCGTGGCGTATTCTCCGATGAGACCTTCCACGCCGATTTCAAAGATTACCTGAACACAAACAGAGGTTAACTTGTCGGCAAAAAACTATAAGCGACCAAGAAAATACGAACCAATGTTTGCGGAATCGCAATGATTCTGTGGGGAGATCTGGCGATTCAAGACGTCCTGACTAACGGGGTGGCAAAACGGTACATAGCGTTCAGCGGCGGCATCATGATGCAAGTTCTCTCTCGCAAACTATGACAAACTCGAACATTCCAGCTTTCACGCATGTCAATTTATCGCCTTACCCCCAACCCTAGACTGCCTACACTCCCCTGGCTCGGAGTTACCGTAGCTTTCTGGAAAAACTGCATCGTGATGCCCCACGAAGTAGAATAGACCCATCACGTCTTCAACTTATATGTTCTCCCCGCAATGAGATACGGAGCGCAGACAGAGAGTACCACAGAGAAAAAGAAAGGAAGAGGAAAGAGGAAGAGAAATTCGCAGTCACACAATGAAGTCATGAAGAGGGCCATGTGCGGCTGTTTGCTACGTGATCACATACCCAATAAACCATCCGCACTCGTACTATGGTTGAGCTCATCGGAAAACCATCTAGGAAATCCAGAGGTGAGCCAGTTCATGAGGCTAGATTAGCCAATGATCGCCAGACGAAGAGAGTGGCTGAGTGGTACTAATCGTAAGGGGAAAAAGAAGAGCAGAGGCAGCCTGGTGCTGAAGTCCTGAAGTTGTAGTACTGGGCAGTGGCCAAAAGTTAGCCATGAGCGGAAGTATGTGACGCACTGGGCGCATCTGGCGTGATTTGCTGGGACGGATTAAGATAGTCAAATGTCGAAGAAATATAATCAGTAAGTATGAGAAAAAGATCAAGGAGTCACGATATCAAGGTTGAGCCGAAATAAGGATGGTCGCAGAAGCGAGGATGTTCCTTCATGAAGCATTTGAGAGCGGTATGGAGTTCTGGGTAAAAATTTCATACCCTCACTCATTGTTTGTTATTATAGCTTCTCGCAGATATTGGAAAGGGGTCGAGGGGAACTAAACTAGCAAGTTTCTGAGCAACGCGGTTCGCAAGCGCGAGCCCATGCTCTCTGGGATCACGCGGTACTATTCCAAACCGCCACAGTCAGCGTGAGGTTACCTTAAGCAATGCTTCAAAGGCGCTTTTTGCTCCTCCGTCGGTCGTCCTTTGTTCTGAAAAGTCCATTTTTTCGTGTAAATGATGATGATAGAATAGTGCTCCGTTACACTTACACTGGGCTTCTCCTTTGTTCCGTTTTCGTCCTCTCGACTGTCCCTCCCTTAAATTATCATCGATATGATAAGATTGACCACGGATCTCTTTCGCTAAAGGTCCTCTCTAACTGAAAGATCTCTAGCCGGTCGGCGGCGAGGCTAAGTGGCGCGACCCCAGCTGGCGGATAGGGGGGTGGGGGGGTGACTTCGTCGCTCCAATAAAGCTCACATGTACTTGCCCGAGAGACGCAGGTGGATTCAGGGGATGGACTCCCTGTTTCTGTAGTGCTGTGTTGATTCATACCAGCTGTCTCCACTCAGGCGCATCCATGCATGCTTGCGTGTGTGGTGCGCTCTGTGTGTGTGCGGTTGGTATCCTGCATGTCGGCACAGCCAAAAGCTTGCATTCAAGTGACTGGGAAGTACATGGGAGGCGATTCGGGGCCGCCTCCAAGAAATAAGCCCCTTGTTCCGCTCCAGGATAGCGTGGCTAACTACCTGGAGGTCTATCCTAGCCCGCACGACAGAGCCTGGCAAGCTACTCGTGTGCCTTCAATATGCCGAAAACAGCAATATGGATGGGCCTCATTCCCCTGAACCTGAGGGAGCCCCCAATACGGCAGCGTTGGGTAGGACCGCTCGGGAGAGGCTGCTAGAATCTCAGGGCCCGGATAGGCTGCCTAAACGAAGAAGGACTAAGATGGCGATCTGTACTTTCAACGCACGAACGCTTGCATCCGAAGCTCACATCGAAGATCTGATGATGCAGGCCAGGAAGATCAAGTACGACGTCATCGGACTGACCGAGACGAGAAGGCACCGCCCGCTACACGCCGTTTTCGATACTGGAGAAGAACTGTTCCTTGGAACATGCGACAGCAGAGGCGTTGGCGGTGTGGGTGTCCTCGTCAACACGCACTTGGCCATAAACATCGATTCGTACGAAAGCCTACGACCCGAATCGGACGTTTGAGATTGAGAAGATGTGGTTCAACTCCTGCTTTGACAATCTTCGTCGCCTACGCACCAACATCCAGCTACGACGAGGAGAACACGAAGCATTCTATATGGAATTGGAGAAGTTCTACAGGGAAGATCATACCTTCTTCAAGGTCATCGTCGGCGACTTCAACGCTAAGATTGGCCCAAGAAGAACGGCTGAAGAACTTCACATCGGTACTCACGGAATGGAATGGAATGAGCAGGGCGAGAGACTGTCGGAGTTTATCATGTCGACCAACACCATCCATGGTAACTCGCAGTTCCAGAAGCCCTCTCACCTTCGTTGGACTTGGGAGTCACCTGATGGACAGTTCCATAACGAGATAGACCACATCATCTTCAATCGAAGGTTTTGCCTGACCGACGTCGCTGTTGTTCCAAAGTTCTACACGGGATCGGACCATCGTCTCCTCCGCGCAAGATTCCACTTCTCGATGCGTGTTGAGAGAGCAAAGCAAAGTTCAGGAAGCGAAATCCCCAGGACAGTCTTCGGCCACTCATCTACTCGTCAGCTTATGGTATAGTGTCCTCCTCGTAAACGGTCGAGAGGACATGGCGAATCTCATTCAGCTTCGTTGGAATCTTTCACAATTGTGCAGGAAGGCAGAGAGTTGGAAGTTACATAGCGGACGTCGCTCTAGGAACTCTCGAGCTGCATACTCCAACGTGGGCGCACGGATGCTTGCATGGCCTAGATCACCGACTCACGTCCGAGCTTGCGAAGCTATGCAGAGAGGCGATAAAGGAAGATCTCAAGGAGCGAAGAGCAGCAGTATTAGCTGAAGCAGCAGAGGCTGGGAGGAGCATCCGCAATGCCCGCCGAAGCTTTGCCAGCTACAAGACCAAGATGACCTGCCTCCGACGTCCGGATGGAACAGTCACTGCATCCCGAAGGGCAATGGAGAAAGTCATCCACGACTTCTACTCGGATCTCTTCGATAGCCATGTCCATCTGCCTACTTATCAACCGCAAGAGGATGGATACGTCGTCCCCTCAGTTCTCCCTTCCGAAGTCCGACACGCCATCAAGTCGGTGAAGAATTGTACAGGCGCCCGGTCGACAGGGTCAAACCGGAACATCTGAAGAACGCACCGCCAGTTATCATCAAAACTCTGGCTCGACTCTTCACGCGCTACCTGTCGGAATGCAAGGTACCCACTCCGTGGAAAACCAGCAGGACCGTGTTGCTGTACAAGAAGGGAGACTTGGACGACATTGGCAACTATCGCCCAATCTGCCTGCTGTCTGTAATCTACAAGCTATTCACTCGAGTCATCCTTAACAGGATCGGCAGAATACTAGATGAAGGACAGCCATGCGAGCAAGCAGGGTTCCGAAGAGGGTTCAGCACGATCGACCATATCCACACGGTTACAAGACTCATTGAAGTTTCACGAGAGTACAAGATGCCGCTTTGTCTCACGTTCATCGACTTGAAGAAGGCCTTCGACTCTGTGGAGACAGAAGCGGTCATCGAAGCGCCTTGGACTAACTGTATGCTATACGAAGTTATTACGAATCGTGAGCTCTACAGCAACTTTACGACCAGGATCTCACCATTCTACAAGGAGGTCATCATCGACGTCAAGAGAGGGGTCCGACAGGGCGACACCATCTCGCCCAAACTCTTCAGCGCCGCTCTCGAGAACGTCATGCGTCAACTCGAAGTTGATGACATGGATAGAATACGGTTGAGGTGAGCGGTCGACGGCACTACACCACCTTCGTTTTGCTGACGACATCGTTCTTATAACGCCGAACATCGAGCAAGCGGAGCGAATGCTGGCTGATTTCGACTGCGCCTGTGGTAAGGTCGGTCTGCAGCTGAACCTAACGAAGACGATGTTTATGAGAAACGGATTGGTTTCCTGATGCCCCATTCACGCTCAACGGAACGAACATCACCGAATGCTCCAGCTACGTGTACCTAGGTCGGGAAATCAATATGATGAACGATCTAGCTCCAGAGTGCTGAGCAGGAAGCAAAACGAAGATGCATAGGAGCATTTAGCAGGCACAGTCTTGCTCAGCAGTTAGATCTTACAAAGCGATATTTTTCTCCACATTATTCGCTTGTCGCTGTGCACATAAATACCCTCCCATTCAAAAAGCGAGAAAGTGTTGAGTGCAGACCATACACCACAAGCGACGACGGCTTCCGAGTGAATTCTGGGTAGTAGTGGTGATAGCAAATTTCTGTAGATTAATAGTTGTACTTCATGTGTCAACTAACGGCAGTACAACATGTACTAGCTAAGGCTTAATATTCTGATGGGCAAAAAAACATACCGTTTGGTGTGAGGATCCCATTGGCACTGTAAGGCATGGTTGTTGCACCGACGCTTTTGAGAGTTCGCATAATAGTAACGGGGAATTGAGCTGGGACCGATGGGATGTGGGCAAAGCGATGGGCATTTTCACCTCTCGTAACTACACTTCTCTGCTGACAAGCCATGTCATCAAAGCCTTCGTGTGTGGAACTCAGTCAAGCCAACAATGGCTAGCAAGATTTGTGTTAACCATGCGACTGTGGATTGAATTCAATTGGATTGCATTGGATTGGATTGAATTGAAATTGGATTGAAAAACAAATGCAAAATGAAACGCTAAGTAGAATGGAAGAAAATTGTGGGCATGAAACCACACATAAAGTTTAGAGATACTCACGTTCCTGAGTTTTCAGATTTCCGACAAATTTCTTCACCCGTTGTCTGAAGGATCCGGCTTAAACAGTAATTATTAGTTCCAATACAAGTGAATATAGGGCGATACGGCAGAGCTGCCGTTACAGGCGGACCGATGGCTTCTCACAGTGACCACAAATAAATTAATGATTGCAAGGGGGGATCCGAATACGTGGTGGCATATATTTTTCCCGCCCGAAGTGTCAGTCCACTTGGACTGACCTACCTCTCCAATTTCAAGCCGACCTTTTTACGCTGTCAACCACAGTTGACTAGCTGCTAAAGGTCCTTGAAGTACTTTCTCACAATGATCAGAAGGTGACTGTATGGATGCCGAAAAGCACAAAAAATGTGCTCGCGGGCGACGAAGAAAATTCCATGAAACTAGTGGGCCAGAGGGACAGAACCCTATTTCGGAGAAGAATATGGTCGCAGTGTGTGGAAGAGACCAGACAACTATACGCGTAGCTACAATCTCCATACGCACATCCATTTGTTATTAGGCTGACTGTGAAATAGGCTTGTCTTCCCTGGCTGCTCTATTTCTGCCGGATTTCGTTAGTTATTACGAACAGTAATAGAGCTCTAAAAAGAGTATTCCATTCTTGAGGTATGAGCACATAACCTCAAACCTTCCTATTCCATTCCCTCAAGATGGCAGGGACGAGAAGACATTGATGGACAAGTTGTATTCTGAGTGGCCGTCCATATGAGCAGCATGGATTTCGCCTTCGGCAAAAGCTGAGCCATACCTTTTATAGCTCCTGGGTCAAACGGTGCGTTACGCCTGACAGAAGTTTTGTAAAGTGCTGGACCGTTCACTCCATGACAAATGATCAGTTCTTTGTGGAACTAGTCAGAACAACCCGAAAGTTGTTCTGCAGCAGAGCATTATAGAAAACTGCTTTTCATCATAGTGAGGAAGATGATTAGTTTGCACATTTAATTGTCTTCGTTCTGAAGTTTTCCATGAGAGATCTTCCTTATTTTTTGATTTCCTGACCAGAAAGTGTGAGCTCAGCTTCCCAGAAATAGACCAGAGTAAAGTAATGTGACGCATCTACTCCGAAAAAAAAGCGAATATCTGGGACAACTCAATCGAAAGCTGCCGTCCGCCAGACTCTTTCCTTCTAAATGTGTGAAAAATTAGCAAAACATTAAGAAATTCAGCAGAACGTGAAGGATTCATGGAAACTTCAAAGCACCTTTCGTCTTTCTGATGTATCGCCTTTATCTTTGTCTTTCTGTTTCCTCTTCCGCTCTGAAGTTTCACCTTTGTCTCTCTGTGTCCTTCTGTCTTATCCGCACTGTTCCGAGTATCTGACCGTTTCCAGTGTCATCTTCTTACTTTTTCTTCTCTCCGATCATTTGCTAGCGTCTGCGCCTTTCTCGGTGTCATCCTTTTTCTTTCTTCGTTTCTCGGATGCCTCCGCTGCATCTTCCTGGTCTTTTTGCTTCTTTTTTCTCTCTGAACACTCCGATACTCTCTTTTCCTTTTTCTGCCGCTGCAAACTATGTGTATGGAAATAATAAAAATTATAATCATAATTTTTTATTAAAAATCATAATTTTGATGGATTTAATCTAAGCGAGTGGAGGAATGTAACAGAAAGTGAGCTGAACTGAAACTTGTTAGATCTCAGGACTGATGCCAGGCTTCCCTTTCCCTCATTCCTCCCACGTTTTCGCTCTCTATAACCATTGCATTCATTATTTTTGTGGTATGAGAGAAAGATGTTTCCTGAACCGGTCTGGGTACAGGTTGAGTGATTTCTATAGCCGCGAACTAGCATGTTCGCGAAAACTGTTACGCCCTCTTGAAGCTTCGGCTTGTCGTCTGTCGGGACAACAAACCCCACGCAAAATACTCTGAGAGGTAGTTTTGGATCAGCGTGAAAAAGTTTTCCAAAGAATGAAACAGAAATTTAAAGGACGGAACGCCTGGCTAGATGAATTAGCGCCGTCATATATGTACATTCACATTCACCTATGCGGGCTTCGACCACTACCAGCTCATATACTGTCACTCAACTCATCGGTGATCCAGGCAGTAACCTGTCGTGCAATATGGGGTCAGTCAACCTGTGTTTATGCTTTGTTCCTCCTGTCAATGCGTTCAGTTAGAGCCAGTTAATCTGAAATTTGAAAATGTTTCTAAGTCGCATTCATCCTCGACTGCCCAGGTTTTGACGAGGGCGATACGACCGGAACGGAGCCAATCGAGTACTTATGACACCTTATTTGCCGCTATAGAAACATTGGAACAATTACACGAATGCCAGGATTTATAGAAGATCGAACATGGAATCGCGAATGATACACAATGTGCATGGACGTACAGTGCAATGCAAAAGGTGGCAAGACCACTGAAACTAGATACGGGCATGGACACCTCAACCGCTGGAACGCTATCTTCCTTTGGAAAACTTCTTCTTGCTTTCATTGGATTCTCTGTGCCCCCTCCTCCTACCAGTGCGGAAATTTCACTACTTTACGGGAATGGTGAAGCCATGGCCCTCGTGTTTCTGTTACTGACGTTAAGGGCTTCGAGCGATGGACGTGTCGCCGTCGCGCGTCTAGGGATCTTTTTCAAAGTTGTGGGCAAGCCGCAAAACTGAGGGAATGGGCTTCCTCACCAACTTGGGCGTAGAAGGCCGATTCCGTGACCGACCAAGGCGAATATCGGAAAGGTAAACAAGTGCTACCTCCAATCCTACCACGTCAGAGCAGAAGACCTCAGTAACTGGACTTTAATTCCCCTGATTCCTCGACCTGAATAAGGGACTCAATGAGGCTCGCGCATCCTCGCGCCCAAGGACGCGCGAAGTCTCATGGAAACTCTTATCCCTCAGAGATACGTAGAAGGAAAGCATGGAGTGAGCTGAACGCCTAAAACCTGCTCGCTACGGTCGATGCATCTCAGCGTCTCGAGCCTATGTCCAAGCAAATGCAGATTGTCCAAAAGGGAGGTGAAGCTTCTTTAGCTTTTCTGTAGGATGAATCTACAGCAGCTGTTCCTTTTTCGGGTAAATTCACGTTTTTGCGCGCCATACAATTGCTTGCCGTGCCCCACCCTCTATAATCGTGCCCCATTTCCCACGAAGAAACTCTCCGATCCACTTCAGACGGGTGCCCACTGTCGAAGCGATAAAAAGCGAGTGGTAGGCAATCTGAGAATGAATTATGACTGAGGTCACGATCATTACTCACAGCTATGTTTCATCAGAGAACCATACATTCTAGTCAGTCTTTATTCATAACCAGTTTAGCGCTGCACACTACCGCGCGCATGAAATGGAAGCCCTAACAAAGGGGGGGGGGTCTTTCAGGGCAAGCCGCGCTTTTTGGAAAACGGTTCCTTGCATATTGTAGGGACGCATGTATGGACCACAAAACCATGTTTCGTTTTCGCTGAACGGTTTTAGTAGTATCAAAAAAGTGGTGAATGATACCCTTGATGGTTCGATCCCCCGCGGCGACTAAATTTTGCAATCAAGGTTGGCGGCCACTTGTTGGCTTCAAAATGGTCCTGACGATGAATATGACATCTGATTTTGACATTTAGCGCGATTTGGCACCAACCGTAGGCGCCAACCCAAATGCAAAATTTAGTCGCCACGGGGGATCGAACCATCAACAGTATTATTCTTTTTTGGTACTACTAAAACCGTTCAGCGAAAACGAAACATGGTTTTGTGTTCCCTACATGCGTCCCTACAATATGCAAGAAACCGTTTTGAAAAAGCATGGCTTGCCCTGAAAGAACCCCCTTGCAGGTGAAGCAGGCAGCCGATAAAGCGTTAGGTTCACCGCTAAACATTAAGCTGCTTCGTAAAATGCGTTAGCTGACCTTCCATAGGCTGCCCATCTTTGCAGAAGCTCACCGTTTGATACGCGCAGTGGAGTGCGGAGCTAAAGTGGTGTCTGTAAACAACCACCATGCATCGAATGTCAGTGTAATTTAGCGGTCGGATTGTGTTTGATGTTGAAATAGAAATACCCAGTACTCGTTATCGTATTTCTCGGAACATCCACCTACATTAGGAATTCTGGAGAGCGAGGCGGTCAAGGCCGCGTTCATAGTTCGCGACTCCGGAGATTGGGATAGTACGCGACAATGAAAAAC